CCTTACCAAAAAAGCACCTGATCTCTATTAGCCACCTTGGGTCCTTAAGTAATTTACCTGTTCAAATAATTATTAAAAAGGGTTGGTAAATTTTAATTTCCATGTTCAATTTTAATTCCCATATTCAATATATTCAGAGTGCTCATGAAAAAGGGTAAATTCTGCAAAATTTCTCACTATCTATCTCCCAGGAAAAATTTTTGAAGGACAATCTTTGCATTTGAATTAGGGAATTGGGTGATAAAGGGTTATTATTGTTAGTGGTATTAATATAACTTTCAGTTTTCATCCTGCATGTACATTTTCCCTTTTCCCTTGTTTGCACCTTGTTCACATCTCAGCTAAATTGTTTCTTGTGACCTATACCTTAAATTGTCTTTTTTTTTAGCCTGCAGTATGGCATTTTGCCACCACTATTGCATTTCTATAGCATGAAGGCTCCAGCACCAGAAATCTAGGGTTCTTAGCCCTTAAAAGCTTTCATGAAAAAAAGTTTTACAAGTTGCCTGGAGGTAAAACATGGCTGCCTGAGAAACCCCACACTCTGCCAGTGCAGGGGCTTACCAAGTACCTCAGGTTAACTCATTTCTGTTTCTCTTCAGGTTGCAAGAAAGTGGGTGTGACAGGGTTCTGCATGGGTGGGGCTCTATCTCTGGCAGCTGCAGCATTGATTCCTGAAGAGATTGCAGCAGCACCTCCTTTCTATGGCATCCCCAGTGCAAACCTTTGTGATTTGAGGAATATCAAGATACCTTTGCAAGCTCATTTTGGGAGTAAGGATAATCTTGAGGGGTTCTCTTCACCAAGAGATGTGAAAGCTTTGACAGAGAAGCTGGATGCTGGAGGAGTGGAGTATGAGCTTTATATGTATGACACTGGCCATGCTTTTACCAACCCTACAAACCCAAATCACACCAAGGAAATATGTGATTTGGCTCTAGGAAGGATGATAGATTTTATGAAAAAACACTTGGCATAAATCTTATTTTCTCTTTTTAGATTTACAAAAAAGAGTAGGGAAGGCTATTTTCAAAGATAATGTTATCAAAGGTTTGGCTAAGTCTTGTTTTCTGGACATGAAATAAATTGTGTTTTACAACAACAGACTGGTTAAAATGTTTGATGCATTATCTAGAACCTCTTTGTAACATCCAAATTACAAGCATATTTTTGGTCAGGCCATATAAGCCATGACCAAGGTCTCATATTGAGGATGGGGCTTAGAGGATAGCAGCATGGAGGAAAGAAAGGAAAATGGCAAGGATGGTCGGACTTGAGGGTTGACAGAAGAGGCAGAAAGGAAGGGAGGGTAGCCACATGGCAAAAGATTACTGCCTCCTCGTAATTCGGCTCTCACTGATCTCTCAGAAACATGTTATTATCCCCTATTGGATAAATTATCATAAAACTAATATTTGCACTTCCTCTACCTCTTCCCACATCGCTTACTTCTTTCTTGGCCAGTTCCTTCCCAGCCCTTCAAACAGAAGCCTGTTGGCAAGGTAGAGAGCAGACCATTGTACGAGAGATTTACCAAGCCTAACCGTCACAGTTTTGTGACGTTGAGCAGTACTACCAAATAAGGTGGTGAGCACGTGCGTGTGAGAAAAAGATCAAGAAGGTTGTGAGAGCCCGAGGTTATGGAAAGTTTTTCCATCGAATTTAGTGAGAGTTTCGGGAATTAGATTGAAGCGGAATAAACCAGGAAATTGTGATATTGTGAGGTCTATGGGCTGTTTTATTGTTCGGCTCATTTTTGGTGCCGTGACCAGGATACGCTGAGGGAATACACAGCGCGAACGAGACAGTTTGAGAAGCGAAAGTGATCCTTCTCGGAGTCAAAACAAACATGAGTGACAGCGGAGAACCGAGCGACGAAGAACAACGTCTTAAAAAATAGATCGACAAAGAAATTGATAAAGTCAAGTACTTCATGGAGGAGAGAGAGGAACTGATCGAAATTCAAGATTATTCGGAGATGGAAATAGTCAATAAACGAGCGGTGAAAATCATTTCAAAGTTGTCGAATCATATTTCACAGACAGAAGAATTAAAAATTGAGCGAGGAATGTCGCCACGAACCGTAAGGCAGTGGAGAAAAGACATTAAATCAAAGTATGCAGCATCTGTCAGCGAAAAGGAGAGGCTTAGAAAGTGTTTGGATGATAGAGATGCAGAAATTACGCGGCAAAAAGAAGAATTGAAGCGGGAGCAAAGGTTGGAAGATGAGCGGCGATTGTACGTGTTACGTGAAAAACAACAAGAGCATGAGCGTGAATTGTGGAAGGAAAAGCTTGAAGCTAAATTACGAGTGGCAGAAAAGAAACTGGAAATGGAGAAAACAGCCGTTTCCAGCACCACAAAGTTACCGAAATTATAGATAACACCTTTTAAGGGTACTGCCGGCGATTGGATAAGATTTGAAAACATGTCCCTGACGCAAGTTGATACGAAATCAATTTCCGACGAGGAGAAATTCGGGTATCTTCTAGAATCCGTTAGCCCGAAGGTGAGAGACAGAATTGCAAATTTAAAACCTGGAACTATTGGTTACAAGACAGCGTGGGATCGACTAAAGAAAGAATATGGGCAAACAAAGGTTGTCACGCATGCGCATATGGAGGAAATCATCAATTTATTTCCAGTCAAGGGGTCCAATTATTTCAAGGTGCAAGAATTCAACGAGAAACTGAGTAGGAATTATGACGCGCTTCAAACCCTCGAAGAAGGCCAACGGTTACAAGGGTTTGTTATGACTACGCTCAACAAGTTACCTCAGGTAAAGCCAGATGTAATGAGAGTGGATGAAAGGTGGGAGGAATGGTCCATGCAAGACCTGATTGATGCTCTGCAGAAGTGGCTTAGGAGAAATCACGTCGAAGGTAGCAAATGCGAAAAACATCTGTTCTCACAGAAGCATGGAGATAAGCCGAAACCCTATTGCCTTTTCTGCTGAAGACAAGAACAGTGGAGTGAGGACTGTACCCTAGTAACAGCATTAGCGGACAGGAAGAAGTTCTTCGTAGATCACAATCTATGCTTTAATTGTGGAAGGCAAAACCACAGAGCAGACCAGTGCCGTAGGCGTGGCTGCGCCAAGTGTAAACACGAACACCACAGAAGCATATGTGATAGACCGGATAGGGAAAGCAATAATCCAGATGAAGTGTCATTGACAGTCTACTCCAATTATGCAGAGGAGAAAGTGCTACCCGCGATTATTCCCGTCAGTATTAGGGGACAAGTGCTTTGGGCCTACCCAGATACAGGATCCGGACGCAATTTCATTTCACGTGAAGCAGTCAAGTTAGTAAAGTTGAAACCGACACGTCACGAGACTCGCGAAATCTTGACAGTCAATGGAACCAAAGTCCAGACAATGCCAGTCTTTGACACCCATATTACGTGCCTGGACGGAAAATCATGCGAAAGGGTGGAATTAACTGGATCGAAGTTAGCTGATTTTACTACAGTGAGAAGGCCAGACATGAATCAGGTGAAGTTGAAGTACTCACATACACAAGACAAGCGGTTCTACACGACGTCCACTGGAGAACATCAGATACACCTCATTCTCGGAGACGGTGTTTATAGCAGAATAAGGACGGAGAGGGTATTCAAAGGACACCCGGGAGAGCCGCTGGCAGAGGAGACAACCTTCGCTTGGGTGGTCCATGGGGGAGACGAATATGAGAGTGGAAGCAGCTGCATGTACATGAGAGAGTTAATGACTGTGAGAAACTGTACAGTTTGGATGTACTGGAAGTGGAGGATCGGGGAGAGAACGATCAGCTGGATGTTCTGCATGACTTTAAAGAGGGTTTTGTCAGAAGCCATGATGGAAGGTATGAGGTTGGTTCTCCTTGGATACCGGGAGTTACATTAATGAACACAAATGAAGCACTTAGCAGAAAGCGGCTCGAAAACGTGGAGAGAAAGCTGTCAAGAGATAAGAAACTGAAAGGAGAGTATGGTGGCATTATTGAAGAGCAACTCAGAACTGGGTTAATCGAGGAAGCACTTCAGATTCCGTCTGAAAAACGTGTATTCTACATGCCTCACAAGCTAATTGTAAAGCAGAGTGCAGTTACAACTAAGGTTCGCATGGTGTTTGACGCAAGTGCTAAGCCCCAGCCTTTGACTTACAGCATCAATGATTGCATGTTCACTGGTCCTCCGTTGCAGCCGATTCTTTGGGACATAATGGTAAGAGTGCGAATGTCCGCAAGTCTGCTCTTGGAGACATAGAAAAGACGTTTCTTCAGATTGGTGTGAAGGAGGAGGATAGAGATGCAGTCAGGTTCTTGTTCAACATTAAAGGAATAGAGAAACATTTAAGATTTACACGTGTACCTTTCGGGGTTGAAGCAAGCCCTTTCCTACTGGGAGCAACTCTGCAGCATGACTTTGAACAACAAGGGTCAGAATTTGAAGAGGCAGTAAGAGCACTTAAGGAGAACACTTATGTTGACAATCTCATGCAAACGGGAGGAAATGTAGAGAAACTCGTGCAGTTCAAAGAAGAGAGTAGTGCCATACTTGAGTCTGTCAGGTTTCGGGTGCACAAGTGGGAATCTAATGTGAAGGTTCTTGAAAGTGAAGGCATACCAAACCCAAGCAAGATCCTTGGACATGTATGGAATAAGGATGATGACACACTGGAGCTGCTTGCAAAGCCTTTTCGACTAAAACATCCAGTGACCAAGCCCACTATACTCAGTTACCTGGGAACTGTCTATGACCCACTCGGGATAATCTCACCCACCATGGCTGAGGGAAAGCATATTTATCGAGAAGCCTGCGATGAGAAGAAAGGCTGGAATGCAGAAGTTTCCCCCAGATTGAAGAAGCAATGGTTAAGGTGGACGAAGCAACTTAAGGATGTAAGGGTGCCTAGAAGTATTGCTTTATTTGTCGGAGAGATAGGAGCAGTCCATTTACATCTTTTCACAGATGCCAGTATCCTAGCATGCTGCGCAGCAGCTGTTGCGGTGGTAGAACATGAGGCAGGCGTGACCAAAGGACTTCTGACCTCAAAGTCGTGGATTTCAAAGAGAAGTACATCAATAGCAAGACTAGAGCTCGTGAGTGACCACATGGCAGTAAACATGGCGAAGAACCTCAGCACGGCTCTCCAGCGTTGGCCCATCCAAACCATCAACATTTGGATGGACAGCATGGTAGCACTATATTGGATAACTAATCCCGGGAGAGGATGGAAGGTGTTTGTGTCAAACAGAGTAAAGAAGATAGCAGAAACTGCGGGTCCAATCAACATCACTTGGAAGTACTGCCCATCAGAGTTGAATCTAGGTGACCTCGGGAGTAGAGGGGCAACCATTGTGAAGATGGAGAGAGGAAACTGGTTTGCTGGTCCGGATTGGCTCTTGGACAAAAGGTTATGGCCGTAGCAGCCAAGGCTGAATAGCACCTAAGAAACAGATGAAGAGAGTAAGGTGACCCAAGAAGCAGTCCTTCGTACACAAGAGCGCATGATCGATGAGTGAGATGCTTTGTTAGAAAGAAGCACCTACTGGCGTACAATAAGAGTAACAGCATGTGTGTTACGTTTTATCAGAAACTGCAAGGTGAGAAGTAGGTCAAAGAAGATGTCAGGTCCATTAGTTACGGAAGAAATCACAACTGCAAGTGGGTGAAGCGAATTCAGAAAGCAGAGGAAACATGTCTGAAGTCCCCAGGATGGAAGTTCGTCAAAGATGACTGTACAGGAGTTTTCAGGTGTGAAGGTAGAATTAAAGGATATAAGCCGATTTACCTTCCTTGTGGTGTATTTGTGGAGAAGCTCATCCTTCACATCCACAATCAGGTCATGCATCTTGGTGTCGCGAACACGATGGCGAGCTTGAGAGAAAACTGGTGGATACCAAAGTTGAGAGCGAAAGTGAAGAAGGTCATTAAGAACTGCAACATCTGTTAAGTGTACTCTACCAAACCTTATGGAGTGCCAGTAAGTAGCACTTTGCCAGAATATAGAACTGAGGGGGGGGAGACCGTTTGAAATAACCGGAGTGGACTTTGCCGGACCCTTCCTTTACAAGGTCAGTAAGAAAGAACAAGGAAAGTGCTACGTCATTATTTTCACCTGTGCCAGCTCCAGAGCGGTTCATTTGAAAGTTGCAAGAACCCAAACGGCAGATGAATTCAAGAGGAAGCTGAATGCCTTTATCTCGCGACGAACAAGACCTCGTATCATCGTCTCGGATAATGCCAAAACTTTTAAGGCCACAGCAGATTGGATCAAGACGGTGCGGAGAAGTGAGAAGTTGCAGAATTATTTAGCACGTGAGAACATTCGCTGGCAGTTCAATCTTGCAAAGTCACCCTGGTGGGGAGGAATCTATGAGAGATTGATTAAGGAGATAAAGAAGACCTTGCATGAGACTTGAGGGAGGTCACATCTTTCATATGAGGCATTTCAATCAGTCATCATGGACATCGAAAGGAATTTGAATAATCGCCCCTTGACATATGTTGAAGCAGAGAGAGAGGAAGAGGCGGTACTTACACCGAACATGATCTTGTGGGGACGAGATGTGTATGCTGTAGAAGACACTGAAGGCTCAGATGCAGAGAAGCTAACAAGGATGGCCAAACGATTGGAAAATGCCAAGACCAATGCATGGAAATGCTGGAAAAGGGAGTATGTTCACAGCCTAATGGAGAGTCATAGGCTCAACAAGGTAACGGGAACTATACCTTAAGTCGGAGAAATTGTACTCATCATTGGAGACGAAAAGAACGGCGGAAAATGGAAAAAAGGTAAAGTGGTGCGTCTTATCAAAGGCAAAGATGACGTTGTCAGAGGGGTAACTTTGTTACACAAAGTGCACACTATTGACCGACCGCTTCAGTTAGTTTGTCCCTTGGAAATCAGAACCGTGGAGGATGTTGATCAATCTCAAAGGGGGAGGAGAGATCGAGTTGATGTAGGAGAACGGAGACCAGGACGAGCTGCGGCTCAGAGGGCTACTCAGAGAATTACAGAACAATTGCAAGAAGAAGAGAATTGATAAACTGAACTGTGTTCGAGTATAAACCGGACTGTCATATAGCGAATCGGATTAGTTTCATGTTGCGTTTGATTGTAAAAATTGTGTGGTACAATTTTTAGGGGAGTTGTGTACGAGAGATTTACCAAGCGTACCCCTCGCAGTTTTGTGACGTTGAGCAGTACTACCAAATAAGGTCGTGAGCACGTGCGTGTGAGAAAAAGATCAAGAAGGTTGTGAGAGCGCGAGTTTATGGAAAGTTTTTTCCATCGAATTTAGTGAGAGTTTCGCGAATTAGATTGAAGCGGAATAAACCAGGAAATTGTGTTATTGTGAGTTCTATGGGCTGTTTTATTGTTCGGCTCAACCATGTTGTTACAGCCTTGATCCTTTGGGCAGGAAGTTTACAATGGTCAGGAACATAAATTGTAGTTCCAATTGTGTTTATTGGCTCCTCAGCTGTGATCGATGGATTTAGGACGCAAAAGCTTTCCACATTCCACGTATTTTTACTTTGGATACCACTTTGAACTTGTATACATATATACCAAGTCTTGGCTTTGCCTTTATGATCATGCTATTAGAACCAACCAAAGGACGAGCTAAAAGTATGAAAAAAGTTGCAAAAAATTACTGACTGTGACTAAGTAAATCATGACACAAACTGGTACGACACAAAAAATTGAAATATGAAAAGCCAAGCTCTGGGCAGCTGGTGTAATTCAAGTAAGCATGATTTCTGTTCTCAGAGGACAGTGGTACTCCTCTGACGTCCATTCCAATTATAGGAACATTGTTCTTCATCATTTTAGCGAATGCGGCTGAGCTATACATTAAAACCTGTACTTGGCTAAAGAAAAACTCTCAGCTGCGAAGTGAACACTTCCACCAGAATCCAGGAATTATTTCATTTTTTTTATTTTTGCAATTAAGAACTCTAAATTGAAATAATTTACCATCTTAAGCGACTGAAGGTTGCAGAGAGACACTAACCGCACGAAAGATATTCCCTATTTGACTAGGGTCGCCGTCATTTTGACAACAACTTTGTAACCTGGCCTCACTGTGAAAACTACAAAGCAACAAAGGTCACAAAGCGCGGTCACATACAGCCTAGCCCTGAATATGGCAAAAAATTGTTGTCTGAGTCATAAACACCTTTTTGTGTACGTTCTGATTGCTAACACCTCGACAAGGGTCAGAAAAAGTACCATTTTGGCTAAAGGAACCCACGTCTTCCCTGTGTCTCCCTCCCCCGAGACAGAGAACGACGTATATAGAGAGATTCATTAGCACCATGTATTTTCTTCGTGCGAATGACAGAGAGGGTCACGTGACCTCACATTTCCCGCGTTTGCCGTTTGCCGGCCTCCGGTTCTACTCGAGAAGGGCATTTTTCCCGTTTGTAGAGAACGAGAAAACATGAGTATTCGCAGCCCATTTTACCGACTATTTCTACATTTTGATTGCTTGCTTTTATAGCTAAGCTTCGTTTATCGTCTTACTTCTGTATGAACTGCTTGCAAAGCTAATAGAGTTCAAATTCTTAATGAGTAGTTTCTTAGAAATCGACTTTGAAATAAAAGCTAGCGCTAAGAAGTCAGGGTTGTACTAAAACGACGAACGCCGGAACGCCGGAACGCCGGAATACTAAAACCCGTGACACAAAATTAATAAAACGCGGAACGCATTTTGGAATAATGAAAAAATTAAAAAATAATAATAAATATGAATAGCCTCGAACCTCGAATATCAGCACTAGGCGTTGAACTTTTGCGTTTGACCGTTCACTGTGCATGCACGCGGGCTTATTTTGCTGTGGAATGGACGAGTTGATCAGCGGTCGCAAGCTCAATTACTTAAAATGGCGGACATTTCTCCCAATCTACGTTATATCTTTAGTTAATTTAATGAAACGTTTTGCACATCAAGTTATTGGACAATCGACTTATCTTTTGAAAATACTGAGCTTCACAGGTAAGATTTTTGTCAGTCAATTGCCTGTGGTCTGATACATCGATACTGGCACCAAAGAATGTTATTCTTGATGATAACTGAACTACGGGTTGATTTTTAAATGCATAAATACATTATCATAATTACATTTTGGCCGGAAACATCACCAAAATCTTTGTCTCCCGGAAATAAAGGATCAACACAAAATATTACATGTTTTCTTAAAACACATTATAATCATCACTGTAAAATGTTCTTACCAATTAAAGATAAGCAATTTTTTCTTTTGGCAGGCAGGGTAGTGAGTAACTGGGGAGACTGGAGAATTTTCCTATTCAGAATTGAAGCATGTCATGGGTTTTAGAAATACAGGTTTTAATTAATTAATTCATTTATTGATTGAGTTTTTTTAAATTTTGATTAAAATTTTATCTAAAATGTGTTCCGGGGCTTTTAGTAATTTTGTGTTTCGGGTTTTAGTAATCCGGCCTTCCAGCGTTCCAGCGTTCCAGCGTTCCAGCGTTCCAGCGTTCCATATTTTAGTACAACACTTTGTATTCATTATTTCTAGTCGCAGTGAATGGTGACCAAGAACATTTGTTCTGCCTTGTCGTCAGGAAACTTAAACAAACGAACATCACGGACGGAACGACAAACGGCTAGCCAACGTTCAGCGTTCGCCATTTTCGCGGTGCTAATCTAACTATAAGGCGGATTCGTGCTGACGTCATTGTTTACATTTTTACTCATTTGCATACGGCTTTGCGTTAAGAAGGAAGCACGTTAGATACAAATTGACTTCAGGCAGCTAAAGAGCTAGAAAAGCTTAGTACATGGTGAAACTTTTAGCTCTTTGGGTGTAATAGTCAAGGAGAAATAGTCCATCAAAAACTGCAAAATTTCTGGGTGGCAAAAGCGCTAATGAGCTCATACATTCTCTTTAAAATTTTGAGTTTTTAAACCCGTGTTGCACAAAAAGTATTCAATGCATCAGGCTCGTATTCATTGGCCGAGTGAATCGTACTTTGACCTTTCGATATTCAGAACTGATCTATTTTTAACTCCATCAGAAACTGAATTGCTTATGCTAATGAGGCAAATATTGTAAACAAGGATTCCCCTTATTAATGAACGGTTGCGAGAGGAGACCATAAATTTCCCACAATACCTAAAATGATGTTATGACGTCAGTGTCTGCTATAAATAAAACTAAAGGGGATTGAAAACGTTTTGTTCTACTGTAAAGACCAAAGTACGATTTGCTACCTGCCAGTTTTATCTTCTTCAACAAAACAGGCTGTTCAAAGCGAAATGTCCTTCCTTTTAGGTCAAAATTTCCTGTTGAGGAATCTGAAGCAGTCGTATAGAGGGATGCTTGTTGAAATCTCCGATGAGTTAACTCAAGCAGAGTTCAGAAACCTTTTATTCTACTGTAAAGACCATATTCTGAGAGAATTTTCAAGCGTTTCCTCAGCAGGCGTAGACATTTTTGATTGCTTAGAAAACAGAATGATAATTTCATGGGAAAAACTCAGTTTTCTAACAGAGTTTACTCAAGTAATTGGAAGGCTTGATCTTTCGATCAAGCTAATTGCATACGAACTAACGAGAGAACTGCTTCTTTACGCTTCCAAACGGAAAAGTTTGAAGTCGTCTTTGCCTTCGTCAACCGAAGGCGTGGGTTGTCCTTTAGCCGAAATGGACGTTCTTGTTCAGGAGTCAGGTTATATTCCGGATCGAGAACAGATCAAGTATTTTTTGAAGACCAGCGCCGAAAATGCAACTTTTGCTTTGGAAGTCGCAAGTGACAAAGCCCAGCTTCCAAGAGCCGATGCCACTGGTCTCTACAACGCATTCGACTTGCGTGTAGCCATTGCAGCGGCAATTGTCTCGGTGAAGTTTGACGAGAACCGTGAACATAAGGATACTTTTGAAGTTGCAGTTGACCTGGGCAAATATCTCGCTCCTACGATGGTCGACCTGAAAATTTGGGTAAGTGAAACTTACCGTGTATCACTCACACACTGTACTCTAAATTAAGCTATCGTCAACACATACCCATCACATCGTATCTAAATTTGCTTACTATGAAAGTGATACTTGAGAATTTGAACTAATGTTAGATGCTTTTTCTAACACTTAGTGGATACTTTTTTATTTTTTGTTCTGATTTCTAGTTACATTTTCTACTATGGGGACTTAGTCAACTCTCTCAATTTTCTGATTGAAAATGCTGAGTAAGAATGTGTTGTGTAAGCTTTTAAGGGCGACACTGCAGGTGACACTACTAGGCTGTCAATCTTCTTGCATCGTCATCGTTCTATCTCAACTTGTAAATCAAGTTAAGTTACGTGCAACAGTTCCTGCATACTAAGTATGTGCCTTCGGGTTTATGTTTTACAAAATTGTTTAATACCTTCAATTTCTTACGTTTCCATTTT